CTCTTTATCCTTGCAATTTAAGTTCTTCAAGTCATCAATCAATCCTTTCATTTATGTGATAGGCCTGTATTAAAAATAGACATTTACCACAAATTATAGGTATCTTATATTATTAGATATATTATTATAAAACATGTTTTGGTTAAGGAGTTATTGATACTTCAAGTGCAAAATGATGATATAAAACCATGATAAAAATGTACTTTTAAGTACTAATCATTATATTTACTTGAAGTAATTTGTCATAAGTTTAAAATTTAGTGATATGCCTAATTTAACTCCCTCGTAGGTGTTAAGTTGCCTTAATTCTTGAACAACACACAATAAGCTTGTATAATTTTGATAATAAAAAAATAGAATGTTAATAAATATATTTATAAAAAAAAATTAACAACTAAAAAAAGAAAAAAAACCTTGATCATAACCCATCTTGGTTAGGATACTAAATCTTCAATCTACAGTGTATTGAGTCTTGCTTCACAGCATTTTATTGACCACTTTTAACGGGTCAAGTCATTTGTTCCTAACATGAAAAAAGAATGCTCAAGTGATGCTAACATTTCTAAAGAAGTAAGAAAGAATTGAGACCATGTTTATTGACTTGATGGGGTTCACTAAACCCGATTAATTTAATAATATGATTAAAAAAAGATATTAATAAAAATAAAACAAAAAATGTAATAATTAACCATAAAAAAAATACAATACCAACCTTACTCATTAAGAGATGAAAAAAAAGTCCGGTGGAAACTTATTGTTGCTTCGTCATGGACATCAACCCTCAACTAGAAAGGGCTCATTGAGGCGGTTCTAATGCCATTACAAAAGGCTCCATCATGACACTAAGAGAGGTTGTATGCAGTGCTAAAACAACAACCTGAAAAGTGAGCCAAAGAAATTATTGTAAAGTTAGCATTTATATTTAATAAATTAATTTAATCTAATTTAAAAAATATTTTTTAAAAAGCTAGGTTTAACAATAAAAAAACAACAAAAAAAGACTTGAGACAATCCTAGTCATTGTAAAAATTAGTGAAAAATCTTATAGAAAGCAAAATAACAACAACAATAATAACTATAATAAAATCCAATCTCCAATCAAATAATTATTAATAAATGAAATAAAAAAATATATGTTTAAAAAAATCTTAGAAACCTAGGTGAATCTCTTAAACATAGATTAATATCTCAAACTTGTAACCCATAAAATCTTGACCCGAACTCAATCAACAAGCTCAATTTCTAATAAAATTAATATTAAAGTATGAAATAAAAATAAATATCAATTAAAAAAATTTGCTGAAGAAAAAAAAGAAATAATTAAAAGAATAAGGATTAAATTTGGTAAGAAAAAAAATAAAGAATGATGAAATTGAAAAAATAACTCATCTTTAAAAATCATCATAAGTGAAAAAAATAACAATTAGAAAAATATGGATCAAATTTGACAATTAAAAAAATTAAAAGGGGATGAAATAAAAAATTTCCAATTTTATAAACCATTTAAAATAAAACAAATAATAATTAAAAAAATTAAATATAAAAAAAATCAATTGAATGATTGATTTAAAAAATCAGAGGGCAAACTTGATAATCAAGAAGGAAAAAAAAAGATTATTAGTATCTAATCAGAGTCCTTTTAACAACACATGTCATTTTTTTCAGGAAAAAAATGTTTAGACAAATTGAATATTGTCATGGAAGGATACGTTCAATAATCTGACATTGACTCACGCTAGCACAAAATCATTTTGCAAATTCTATTTCTTAACCTTTTACTTTAAGTACTTTAACTTGTATTGTGGATTATTATATTTACTTGAAGTAATTTGTCATAAGTTTAAAATTTAGTGATATGCCTAATTTAACTCCCTCGTAGGTGTTAAGTTGCCTTAATTCTTGAACAACACACAATAAGCTTGTATAATTTTGATAATAAAAAAATAGAATGTTAATAAATATATTTATAAAAAAAAATTAACAACTAAAAAAAGAAAAAAAACCTTGATCATAACCCATCTTGGTTAGGATACTAAATCTTCAATCTACAGTGTATTGAGTCTTGCTTCACAGCATTTTATTGACCACTTTTAACGGGTCAAGTCATTTGTTCCTAACATGAAAAAAGAATGCTCAAGTGATGCTAACATTTCTAAAGAAGTAAGAAAGAATTGAGACCATGTTTATTGACTTAATGGGGTTCACTAAACCCGATTAATTTAATAATACAATTAAAAAAAAACATTAATAAAAATAAAACAAAAAATGTAATAATTAACCATAAAAAAAATACAATACCAACCTTACTCATTAAGAGATGAAAAAAAAGTCCGGTGGAAACTCATTATTGCTTCGTCATGGACATTAGCCCTCATTGAGGCGGTCCTAATGCCATTACAAAAGGCTCCATCATGACACTAAGAGAGGTTGTATGCAGTGCTAAAACAACAACCTGAAAAGTGAGCCAAAGAAATTATTGTAAAGTTAGCATTTATATTTAATAAATTAATTTAATCTAATTTAAAAAATATTTTTTAAAAAGCTAGGTTTAACAATAAAAAAACAACAAAAAAAGACTTGAGACAATCCTAGTCATTGTAAAAATTAGTGAAAAATCTTATAGAAAGCAAAATAACAACAACAATAATAACTATAATAAAATCCAATCTCCAATCAAATAATTATTAATAAATGAAATAAAAAAATATATGTTTAAAAAAATCTTAGAAACCCAGGTGAATCTCTTAAACATAGATTAATATCTCAAACTTGTAACCCATAAAATCTTGACCCGAACTCAATCAACAAGCTCAATTTCTAATAAAATTAATATTAAAGTATGAAATAAAAATAAATATCAATTAAAAAAATTTGCTGAAGAAAAAAAAGAAATAATTAAAAGAATAAGGATTAAATTTGGTAAGAAAAAAAATAAAGAATGATGAAATTGAAAAAATAACTCATCTTTAAAAATCATCATAAGTGAAAAAAATAACAATTAGAAAAATATGGATCAAATTTGACAATTAAAAAAATTAAAAGGGGATGAAATAAAAAATTTCCAATTTTATAAACCATTTAAAATAAAACAAATAATAATTAAAAAAATTAAATATAACAAAAAATCAATTGAATGATTGATTTAAAAAATCAGAGGGCAAACTTGAAAATCAAGAAGGAAAAAAAAAGATTATCAGTATCTAATCAGAGTTCTTTTAGCAACACATGTCATTTTTTTCAGGAAAGAAATGTTTAAACGAATTGAATATTGTCATGGAAGGATACGTTCAGTAATCTGATATTGACTCACGTGTATCTTGCTTGCTAGCATATATGCAACATACTCCAACCAATTTTTATATAAAATTTTATATTTGTCAAAGTATTAAAATATACTTGACCAACATAATAATAATTAATTTTTTTTTATAAAAAAAAAGATAGAAAACCCCTATAACCTAGCTTTAAAACAATTATATTCGAGGCAACAATATTAATTTATTATTAAAAAAACAAAATAACATCAAAGCCTTTTCCAATTAGTTAAGTAAATTTTTGCTTTTAAAATCAATTATATTATTTTATAATGCTAAAAAAATATAAAAAAACTCTTTTAACTCAATCAATTTTATAATATCAAATGTATATAATAGAAAATACCCTTTTAACATTGAAAGCCAATTCAATTGGTTTTTGTTTGGAGGGAAAAGAAGTCATTAAATTGTTCCCAATCTGTATTATGAAGACTCTCAGGCCACCATGTTTCTCCATAATGCCTTTTATTTTATTTTTTGTAATAAAACCAAACTTAGTCAGCACAGGGAGGAGGAAAAACAAACATGATCATTATAGTTATTTGTTTTCTGAATTTGCTTTGATGCTGTCTGTATATTTTATATAACATATTCGTTATCTCATGACGTGTGGCAATGCATTTTTAAGTAAACTTTGTTCAAATTCTTCAAATATCGGTTGTTATGGAATAGGTTTTTGTCTTTGAATCTAATTTGGTCACGCCCGCCACCGGAACTCTTAAAAAATTATTATACTTGCATTTTTCAAAAAATTAAATATTTTTATTGTTAAAAGCTATTTTTTTATATTTTAAATTGTTTAAATATGCTAATTCTAAAAATAACTTTTAAAAATTAACAAAAATATCAGCTTAACATTTCAGCACAAATAAAATTTTTTAAAAAATTATAATTATATTTTAAATAGGCCGAAAAGGTTTAGTAATAATTGTATTTAGAAATGAGAGAAGATTATATTTTTCTAAAATGTCATTTTTTATTTAAAATTATTTTTTAATTTTTTATATATTTTAATATATTAATATTAAAAATAATTTTTTAAAATAAAAAATATTATTTTAATATATTTTTAAATAAAAAATATTTTAAATCATACTCGCTACTATATTTCTAAATATACTTTACTTTAAAATAAAAATTATTATTTTAAAAAATATGCTAAAAAAAAACTATTTAAAAAATACATTTCAAATACACACAGCTACATGGAAACTAACAGAAAAATCTTATTCTATTTGATCCTTCTATGTTTGTTGCGTTATTACGTGAGATTAACACATCAAACTATTTAATAATGAATAGTTGTATTAAACTATAAGTAAAGTTTTTTAAATTAAAATTATCATAAGGGCATAACTTAAATTAAAGAATTAAATATTTTCTTAAAAAAATAAATGAATTACTTTAAAAAATAAATCTTTCTTTGAAAATAATAATAACAATATTGCATAGTTTTTTTTAGTAAATAGACCTCCTAAATCAATAATTTAATGAAGATAAGATTTAATATATTTAGAATAAAAAAATTAAGTGATTTTTAAAAAAATATTAAGAGTTATTAAATATTAACTAATTACTATGATAAAATAAAAATTGATTGAAGATAGTTAAGTCTTAAATATTTAAGGTCTTTTTTAATTTTTAAAAATTAAAAAATCAACTTTTATAAAAATCATAATCAGAGAGGGTCAATCAATCACTGTTAGTTTGAGAGGAGCTTATGATTCGTGACTCACTGAGTGACGGAAAAGAAATCTCACATGCACATTGCGCACGCAACTCAAAATAAAGAAGAAAAAAACAGTATAGATTGATGGATAATCAATCTCAACGATCCCCGCGTTGAGCTTCTCTATCAATTAAATTAGGAGAAATGGATAATCAGGTTTTCTTCGAATTCTCCACATTTTTTAATTTACTTGTTTTCTGCTTCACATTCTTTGATCAGGTCGATTGAGGAAATGATAGAGAGAAATGTATAGATTGATCGAGATTTGGATTTGAATATTCTTCCCTTTCTTTTTAATTGTTTGATGAATGCGAGAATGAGCACGCAAAGGCAGGTGATTGTACGGGACTTAGTGGAGGAAGCCAAGAAGAGGATTGCTATGTTGGTTATTTGTGTTGTTGGATTATCTTTTCTCATGTCCTGTAAGTTCCTCTCTCTCCCTCATTTTGCTTTTTCGTTTTTTTTTTTCTTGTAATCTGTGATTGTATCTGAATTGAGACTGAATTAATTAATATAGCCAAAATGTATGCTAATAGTCTTGTTTTATTTATTTTTTCCTTACCTTTTTAATCAGATTTATAGATGAGCAAAACGTTGATAATATAGGAAAGTTAGCATTGGGAAATTGAATGCTGGAGAGTAGCATTGCCAGTTCTGATAAGGATTGTTATCTTAATAAGGTTAATATCTGTGTTTGAGATGGCACCTTTTACTCTTCTCTGGTATTGTTTCTGTTGGTGTGGGTGTGTGCGGCATTGACGTAGTGGTTGGACGATCAATGGGGTCAGTGAAGGGAGGGACGGAATTAGTGAGAAAGGGTAATTGTAGAGGGGAAAGCATTTTATGCTTTCAAAAATGATATGACGCGGTGCTTGAATATATATACACCATGACATATCCAGATAAATAACATGGGAATGTATGTTTTCTGATTTGCTATCTTCTCAATGTTGGATAGGAACGATGCTATAATTTGTGATGTCTCTATGTTTATGTTTTACATGCTTATTTCTTCTGAAATGCTTGAAAATAATGACGTGGTAAGAGATTGTCTTTTGTTTTCATATATTAAGGAATTTTTCTTTTCTTTTCTTTCTTTATGTCCCAAGGGAGTCATGTCAGAAAGAAAGAAAAAAAACAATGATAATCTGATAAATTGGGGTCCAGACATACCAACAAAATTACTATAAATAACTGCTAATAAACTTACTGCAAAATATTAATCCATGTAAAAATGAGTGATCATAAATGGACATAGCGGAGTGAAGATATCTCTGCCAATAGTAACCATAAATTAAGGTTTCAAAATGGAATGGATCAATGACTTTGTAGTTTGATGGTAACCTTCATTTTTGCATTGAGGTATGTTGATTGTGGACAATCTGCAATGACATTTTCAACAAAATTTGTGCATATTTAATTAATTACCAGCAGGAACAGAGCAAAAATGTAGAGGCTGCCATGAGACTTTGTTCATTGTGAAAGCAAAGATGGCCAATAAGCTCTAGCTCAATTGACTTCCTGCATTTTCCCACTCCCCATTTCCTTCAACTTGAGTTTGAGCCTTCATATGGACCAAAAATACATGACATTGTACAAGCGTTGGATGAAGAAATTTATAAACATTATGGAGGAAGTAGCATGACCAGAGCAATTAAGGTCTGTAAATTCTGTTATACTTTGGTGTATACAGTTGCTTTCCTACAAATAGAGAGTCTTAGGGGGAAGATTTCACTCTTTTATGCATGCATTCATAGAGAACATTTGCACTACATGAATGGTTGCTGCTTTCGGGAGTTAAACTAAAAGATTTGATTTGTATGGGTTGAGAACATGAAATTCTGGTTAGTTATTTTCTGGCTGTTTGTACATTAATGTACTCTCTCTCTCTCTCTCTCTCTCTAAGCAATGCCTTCATGTATACTTGTCTTTAATTGTAACTTACACTCAATTACCTTTTTCAGTAACGAGTGCCTCGGTTTGGGTCAACTTGCCTGCTGCTGCTTCCTTGATCATTCTCCTTCGGTACTTTTCCCTGGATTATGAAATGCGTAAGAAAGCTGCTGCATATAACAACAAACCAGCCTCCACAACATCAAGCACACTGTCACAAAACAAATCTCTTGAATTTACCAGGGTTGTTGAAAAGTCCGATTGGAGAAGGAAAGTGAATTCGCCTGTTGTTGAGGATGCAATAGATCATTTCACTAGACGTCTAGTCTCTGAGTGGGTGACAGATCTATGGTACTCTCGCTTAACCCCTGATAAAGAAGGTCCCGAAGAATTGGTGCAGATAATGAATGGTGTTCTTGGGGAATTTTCAAGTCGCATGAGAAATGTAAATCTTATTGATCTACTGACAAGGTTGCAGTTCTTTTTCTCCTCACTATTCTCTTACTTGTCTTCAAGATTGTTTGCTTTGTCACTAATCATCTCGGGTGACACAGGGATTTTATTAATCTCATCTGCACCCACTTGGAGCTTTTTCGTGCCATTCAAGCAAAGATGGAAAAGCGACAGTCTAGTGTGCTTACCATTGAACAGCGAGACAAGGAACTAAGACATGTCCTGGCTGCTGAGAACAAATTGCACCCTGCTTTATTTTCTACTGAAGCTGAGCACAGGGTTGATTTGTTTATTTCTTTGTTCATTAAATCTATGAAGTCATCTAATCTACATATGTTGCCTCTAAGGGTAAGGATTGCAAGTTTAGTGACAACCTCTTTCACTTATTCTCAGGTTTTGCAGCATCTGATGGATGGTCTCATTTCTTTTACATTCAAACCAGCAGATCTGCAGTGCTCTTTCTTCCGTTATGTTGTTAGGGAACTTCTTGCTTGTGCGGTAATGCGACCAGTGTTAAACTTAGCTAGCCCAAGGTTGTCTTTGATTCTGCTTTGTTTTATATTTTTGTGTTGTCATTTTCCCTTTCTTTCATTTTTATTTTTCTTTTCTTTTCTTTTTCAGGTTCATAAACGAAAGGATTGAAAGTGTTGTCATTTCTAAGGCTAATCAAAGAGTTGCTTCAGCACAAGAGACATCTCATTTCAAACCAAATGGATCTTCAAGGATCTCATCCAATCATTTTTCGAGGTTTTCAGATCCTACTGATACTGGGGTTGAACTTGTGCGGTTAAAAACCGACCAATCCAGAGGTGGACCGGATGCACCTGAAAAAGATAAAGTGAATGGAAGCCATATCTCAAAAGATCCATTACTTTCCATTGATACCCAATCTTCCCGCACATGGAGCTCGCTGCCCACGAATTCCCAGAATATTAATGAAGAAGGAATCCAACGACATTTTTCAGGAGGGGAATGGGGTGAGAGGTTGGATATGATGTCTCGCAGAAAGACTGAAGTCCTTGCTCCAGAAAATTTTGAAAACATGTGGACAAAAGGGAGAAACTATCGAAAGAAAGAAGGGGAAAATCGATTGATAGAGCAAGTCCCTCAGAATTCTTCAGCGAGTAAGTATGTTACCTCAGATCATTCAAAGAGGGCATCTAATTCCAAGAAGGATGGTGTAACCAAACTTGATGCCCCTCTGGCCCACAACGCTCAGTCTGTGGGTACCGAGCAGTCTACAGTAGAAAACCCTCTACATCATACAGATCAGAATATGTCAAACCATCCATTATTTAGTTCACACAAAGATGGCATACGGAGCCCCATGCATGTAGATGAGATTGAATCAGGTAGTACTAGCTCTTATACTTCTGAAGAGGAAGATGCGAACAGTGTAACTGGTCTTGATTCTCCAGGAACTAAAGTCTGGGATGGTAAAACTAACAGAAACCTGGCTGTTTCCCACATTCATCATCCACTTGAAAATCCTGATGGCCACAGGGAAAAGAAGACTGGCAGAGGGCTTGCTCACTATCAAAGATTATCTAGACACCAGTCTGGCAGTAAAAGGTCAAGGCCAAGCACTCAGAAGGTACATGTTTGGCAAGAGATTGAGAGAAAAAGCTTCTTGTCTGGAGATGGACAGGATGTACTTAGTTTAAAAGGACATACTAAAGCTGATGATTTCAGTGACGATTCTGAGTTTGAAAGTTTGGATAGAGTTTACAGTGGAGCAACTGCGTGTTCATCTGCAACATCTGTTTCTATTCCCGAAAACCACACTTCAAATGTTAATTCTTTTAAACATTCATTAATGGTGGATTTGATTTATAAGTTGAGATGCGAGGTACTCCACTTAAAAGCTCGTTACTTCTCTCTGCTCAACAGCTTGACCTTTCATCTTCTAATTTAGTGATAAAGGATGCAAACCCTCTTGCTGTTGCAGGTTTTGGGTGCAAATATTGTTAAGAGTGGCTCTAAAACATTTGCTGTTTATTCCATATCTGTTACAGATGTAAATAATAATAGTTGGTCGATCAAAAGAAGGTGCTATGGATTTCTGTCTCAAATTTCTTGTTTCATCTCCTGTTGATGTGTTCTCTAATAAGCATCTTTGATAAATATATTATCTTTCCGATGTCCTCAAAAACATGGTGAATGCATGATCTTGGTAATATTCTCTCATAAAGTTACACAGCTCATGTAACTGAACTGTTCTGCCAACAGGTTTCGACATTTCGAGGAGTTACATAGACGTCTCAAAGAGTATCTGGAATATAGTCTTCATTTGCCACCTAAGCATTTTCTCTCTACAGGCTTAGACATGCCTGTCATACAAGAGCGGTGTAAATTGCTTGATAGATATCTAAAGGTCATACATTTAATCTCACTGTTTTTGTTCTGTGAGTTTGATATCTCTTTGATATGCTGTAATTGTGGCTGTCAATGGAGTTCCAGCCTGAATTTGCAGCTACAATACCAGTACTTAACAGATTTGTACTAATGTTTGGCTGCTAAGTACTGGTGGACTACAGTATTATGCTGTAAAGTAACACACACATGCAAACATAAAATTAGTAAACATAACAAGTATTGTGCATGGAAATTTAGCATTTCTCATTTTACAACCATTATATATGAGTGTGCTTACCACTAGAATGCATTAACATGGCTAATCTAGTACCACGTAATCGAAATTCTAAATCATATTATCACGAGAATGCATTTACATGGCTAATCTAGTACCACACAACCGAAATTCCAAATCATATTATTTTAAAGTTTGCCATTAGATATGAGCATGCCTAGTGAGAAATAACTCCATTGTTGCTGTATTTAGAAATGTCATTGTGCTACTTCATTTTACCATGCCTTAATTCCATAACTAACCTAGCATATTGCTGTTTTCCAGAAGCTCTTGCTACTTCCAACAATTTCAGGATCCATTGAAGTCTGGGACTTTCTTAGTGTTGATTCTCAGGTTTCTTATTTTCTGCTGTCTTGTTAATGGATTTTTGTCTCTTCCTTTTTTTTTTTTTGCTGAAGGGAATAGTGTTTTTTCTGATATTTCTCCTATACCATTCAGTTGTTATATATTTGGTTTCATGCAGACATATGTGTTCTCTAATTCGTTTTCTATCATTGAAACATTATCAGGTGAAGATTGTTCAATTTGGAATGCTATCTATTATTTTGATTTTCATTTCTTTATTTTGATCTTTCCTCTCATTTCATTTGTCTTGGAACTTTCTAGTTGACCTGGATGGCAAGCCCTCTGAAAAGAGTAAAAGGGTTTCAAATTTTATTGGCCCTGCACTCAATTCCTTATCCACTAGGAAGGAGCAATTGAGTGCAGAGTGCAAGGAATCTATATTGCAGACAAAGCATAATCTCAGGGCAGATGGGGCACAAATGATTTCAAAAGAGACACCTCATTCTCCGATGAAGTCTATTAAAGATTCTGGAAGATCATTGAAGGATCCAGGAAGTGATTCAGATATGCAAAAGAATGTATCATCTGCTAGAAATTTAGAGAAGAATGTAAAAGTGGGTGATAGTCTAGAAGAGATGTCTGCGTCCATTCATGATACTGCTAGTGATCACATGCTCCCTACAGAGGTGATTAAAGTGGGTTAAGAATTGGGCTGGATTGAAGGTTTACCTTAAAAATAAAAGGTTGTCTTACTAAGTTTATTGCTTGCAGTGGGTGCCACCAAATTTGACTGTTCCTATACTTGACCTGGTAGATGTCATTTTCCAGCTACAAGATGGTGGATGGATCAGGTACTCAATATATGGCTATGTCGAGTTGTGGTGGTTGTCTTGTCTCTTTATGCAAGCTATCTTTTGTCAACAAAATGACATCCCACTATGACTGGGGAGGATATGCTGCTGACACAAATGATTTGTGCATTGCAGGAGGCAGGCTTTTTGGGTGGCCAAACAGATACTACAACTAGGAATGGGTGATGCTTTAGATGATTGGCTGATAGAGAAAATCCAGCTTCTGCGTAGGGGTTCAGTTGTTGCATCAGGGATCAAGCGGGTTGAGCAGGTAATCTTTAAAGCTTTTCAGTTTTTTCTATTTTTGACAATTTGCTAAACCTTCAATAATACATGGCAGCATAGATTGGTATTGAAATGCTGGAGTATTTTTATTGAACTGGTTGGTAACAGAACTGAGATTGGGTCGTTGGATGAGTAATCTGGGTGGTGTGAAATCATATCTATTATTTCTACCCCCACCATTGAACTTCAATCTCCATATAATCCATCTTTTTGCTAACAAAAAAGGGTGAGATACTGTGGCATTTTTTAAAGATGGTCCATCTGAACTGCTTTTCAGTAATGCCGAGTGAGATAGGGTGAGTGAGGTAGGTAGTGATGGAGGGAGAGATAGTAGGAGTTAAGTGGGGGAAACTTTTTCTTTTCTGTTCTACCTGTTTTTTCAGCAGCTGTAATGAACTACACTAATCTTAGAATATGCTGAAGTAGATTAACTTGTCCTTTAGGTTGTCCTTGATTGTGTAGGAGGCTTTAGAAAGAAGATTGAAATGCTTGTGTATTAACCTGATGTTAGGCTCCTTATTAAATATAGATACTTTGGCCTGATGGAATATTCATCACCAAACATCCAAAGAGACGGCGACCACCCCAGCAATCCACAGAAGTGTCTTCTCCTAAATTGATTTCCCCTCATGGCCAGCAACCCATGGAAGTATCTTCACCTAGATTGAATGATGAGCAGCAACAACAGGATGCAGTTCGACGTGCTAAATTTGTATATGAGCTGATGATTGGTAATGTTATTTTTCCTATGCATTCATTCTTTATTTCTGCGTTACTGAACTATTATTTTCAAATTCCTGTAGCGAATCTTCCATGCCTCAATAAACTCTGTTTGGAAATGCAGACAACGCACCAGCTGCTGTTGTGGGCCTTGTTGGTCGAAAGGAGTATGAACAACGTGCAAAAGATCTCTACTTCTTTCTTCAGGTATTTTATCCTCTTGAGATTAAAATCCAAACTTTGACATGTAAAGCATAAAAGTTGCAGCTGATTATAGATTATTTTGTGTCACATGCATTTAACCTTCTCAAATGGAAATTGATAGAGAGAGATAGAGAGAAGGGTAATGGGGGATGGGGGAAGTCATCTTTCTGTATTATCGCTGGATGTTGTTTGTCAGCATCCTTTTTTTTTCTCTCCTGTGGTTTAAGGTGCATCATTCAGAAGAGAGAACAAGTCTTGCGAAATAAATGGTGGTTAATGAGGAAGGGAAGGCACTGAGACTGCTCAGTTTAGTGAATGGGCATTTTGCTTTTGATGCATTGATGATCTGGGTTTGTTGCTTGATGTTACTGTGTCAGCATCCGTTTTGTATTTCTCCATGGTTTGACATGCCTCCTTCAGAACATTTAACAAGGCTTGTCAAATAAATAGTGGTCAATGAGGGAGGCAAGCCATTGAGACAACTCGGTTTAGTGAACTGAAGAATGAAAGCTTTTAGTCCAGCAACGATCTGGGTAAGTGTAGCACCAGTGAACAGATAACACCTATCATTCTGGCTGTTAATTTGTGACCCTGAAAGAAGAAAGGCATTTCCGGTGTATGCCTTGCACATATATTGTTCTCCATACTCCGTTGAATATTTCTTGGCACACCTATCATTTCTATACAGATGATGTTACTGAGCTTCAATGTTTTTCCTTTTCCCTGCACAGTCATCAGTTTGTACGAAGCAACTGGCTTTTGATCTCCTTGAGCTGCTGCTTTTGACTGCATTTCCAGAACTGGATTCTGTTATCAGGCAGTTGCATGAAGAGAAGCATAAATTTGGCGAGTTTAAACCCAATTAGTTAAGTTAATCATATGCCAAGGCCAAGTACACGAGTCTTTCTTGTTTTCTTCAGGTATGTTATTCTATGATAACAAGTTTCTGTTTTCAATTTTTGCAACTGAAACACTATCCCACTTGGTGATCCATAGTATCAAAAGATGATCGAATTGATGCACAGTTGTGGTGCTTAGATGGACTCTTGTCTTGGCAATTTTGAGGATATTGTACCTAAATCATGAAACTAGTAATGTACCCAATGATTCATGCCTACCCGTTTTCTTTCCCTTCTTTATAGATCTCTCTGCTTTTGATCCAGTGAGACGCCTCCTTGTATAATGACAGATTGCAGATATAACTCCATGATTGGTTTGATATAATAGATTCTTATGATTGGTGGTTCAATTTCTAAAATCTTATAATATAATGAAAGATTGAGATGATAATGACTCGTAACATTACAAAAGTCATGTAATGAACCATTACATGATTAAAGGACAATTAGACAATGAATTGCTATTTTTTTCAACATAAGATTTAAACTGTGATTCTCATAAAATACATAGAAAAGAATATTCAATGAAGTATTAGTTCATAAATAAAAAGACAAATATTTTTTTCAAAAAATTACAGATACTACAAAGAAACTTCTGCAAAACCCCCTCCATTACATTACTAATAGATTTGCAGCCAAATAAAAGAAAAGTAATAAATCATCTCATCCCATTACATATTTTTTCATCACAGAGCGTTTATATATTTTGAATACATTAGTGAACATGAAGTTTACTCAACATCATCCAATCTTTGGCGAGGGGATACATTGCTTGGACCGGCAGATTGCAATAAATTTTAAAACTAATTGTAAGGTACACCAACTATATCTTGCTACGGATTTTATGATTTCACAGCACCATGGGGTCTCAGTCAGTAGTCAATGGCAGTTACCAAGCCAGAAATTTTCGAAAACTTCCTCAAAAACATAGAGCAAATCGAATAACACTCGCAACATCCTCTTTTCAGAATCAAACCAACTAAATAATTAGGCAATGTAAAATTATCTAAATAGCATGAAAAAGGTGAATAGCACCCATTGAACGAAGTTCTAACAAAACTCCCCAATGCATAATTTGCAAGTAAATCTACAATAGGGTACCCAGATAACACGCTCAAAAATGACCCACGGCTTAAGCAGATGCCGCTGTGCCCTTCTTCCTTGGTTCTGCTTGAGTGCCTGATCAAAAGCAAGCCAACAAAGTCAGAAATAACAGAAAGGAATCGTGCAAACCCGAATACAGCATTAATTAAACTAAAAAGAAAAGCAGTTCATGAAATGACGGTGATAAAGAGCAGGAAATAAGCTACATTACCTTCTCTGAAACCACTCTTGAACCTGCAAGGGACATTGCGGAGATACCTCATCCTTCCAGTTCCAGTTGTCTTCCTCCTGATTGCCTTCTCACTCCAGTTGTCTAAAACCACAATAAAAGAACAAACAATCAACCGACTTGTTTACAGATCAAACTGTACAAGTTCAAGCAGAAGTTACAAATTTAAAAGTTAACCAGGAGTGGCTCAAAATTATTCATATATATTCATAAACCACTAATTCATGAAACATAAACCATACATGAATGAAATGCTGATACAGGAAGGAAAAAAAAAAAAAAGGTAAAGGAGCTTGAATCTTTGTGCATGGGCAGAAATAGAAACTTGCTTGACCACCACCCATGCAACATGATGGATTGCACATACAAACAAACTATACACAACTCTACTACTTAAAAGATAATAGAGTTGGCACAACCATGCCACTACAAAGATGCAATTCCCTTAGCATATTTCAAGCATGAACAGACTTCCTATTTGAATATAAAGAACAGAAAAGAAAAGCTGTTCAAGATAAACAGCTAAGCACTGCAAGACTAGACAAATATAGCAGCCAAAAACACAGAAAGAAATGCAAATGTCAGATCAATAGCCGCCCAAACTTACTAAAACAAATCAGTGATAAACCTATGCATATGCCAGTACAGATATAAACAAAGGAGAAAAAACACTAACTTGAAAGCAAAAGAAAAGGCAAAATTACTTCCATTCATGTACCCAGAAAGATGCAGATTCCAATATGAAGTGACGACTAGGTAAGGAAAAAAAAAACATACATTTCCTCTTGCGGGCAGCAGGGAAAGCACAGGCGGAGCAACGGCTCTTCTGGAGGTGGAAGAGGTGGAAGCTTCGGCGGCCACACCTAACACAGAGGGTGTGGGTCTTGTTCCTCCTCTTACCAAAACTCCCTGTTCCCTTCCCCTGCCATTGTTACAAAAACACGCATCCATGTAAGCATTAATACAAACAGCACGTAGATCAAAACTTACAGAAGATAGAGGGAGAAGACAATTGATTTTGTTAGGGGTGTTTTACCATGGCAGCACAGATGCAAAGAAACCCTAGAAGAGCTCCCTTTTTTTCCGGGGTAAAGGACACAGCGGCGTTCAAGAGTTATATATAACATCCACGTAGGGTTTTTATTTTTTGGGCTACTGAGAATTTGGGTCTTTTGCCAATGGTAAAAGATTTAAGCTCACAACACATGATAAAAAAAAGTACAGGGTAAATAATATATTTTGACTTAACTATTTATCACAATTGCGGTTTTAAAATGGTGGTTATATTAAACAATTATTATTATTACTAATTGTGTATGTATTAGAGAACTGGTTAATGATAATAATAGCTCTTCAATATATAAAAGCTAATATGAATGGCGGTTGTGTTATTCTTCAATATCTACCCCAAATTTGATAAATGAAACAAATTTTAAACCATCATAACTAAAGCTTTTATTTATATGTTGAGTTAAAGTATAGATAGATGAGTTAAAGTATAGATAGATATGGAGAATTGCCATACTCAAAGCTTTATAAGTATTTTCCCTTACTCAAGGTCTAAAATGAATCCACTGTGAATATTCTTTTTTGATGTCATAGACTTACTTTTTTTTTACTATTTTCTCTTTTAAGGATCTAATTTGGTGCACCAATAAGGTTTTTTGGGTCTTAAGACAAGTGAAGGTGTATTTTTTTAAAAAATTATTTGATTTTGTTTGTTGTGGTTGAGTTTCTCTCAACAAATAACTTTATAACTTTATGGTTGAAGTACTTAATACTAATTGTTTTATTTTTTTTTATAGAGAAATGGCCTTTTAAGGATTTCATTATAAGCCAAATCCATCTTTATCACCATAAATATTTACTAAAGAGTGCAATGTTTAGGTTCAATACTAATGGTGATTGTATATGTATGACAAACACTCATAACTAGAGCACCATATTCTCTTGAAAGAGTTCTTATTAAAGCTAATTTCAAGGAGTCATTGTCTATATATTCTATCATTTTTCTAAAAAATATGTTCATCATGCTTCCATTATCTATAAACACCCTTTTTATTCTTAGATTGGAAAAGGCGATGGTGATCACTAAGGTATTCTTATAGAAAAAAGTCACCCCTCTTTATTTTTAAGTGTAAACATGATAGTTTTATGCCATGAGTTTAAGAGACACAAGACAGTTGATACTTGCTTTTTGTAAGCTCTTTTTATCTCGACTAGAGTTAACTATTTTCAAAATCCTATCCAAGATCATATTGATCATGAGTAATGTTTCATAAAGCACACTGATCTCTCTCTTTTTTTTTGAATAGTATGTGTTTCTTTCTTGACAAACTCTTAGTGTTAACCCTTACAATTAGATTTTTTATCAATTTTTTAGATCATAATAATTCTCGATATCATGTCTCTATTTTTATATAAAAGTCAATATCTTTTAAGGTTGTGTGCTAGAGTTATATTTTATACAAAGAGAATATTATACAAACTTTTTTACTTTGATTGTAATGAATATGTAAATCTAAATGGTGTTCAAAGGTATAGTTATGAGCATGAGGAAGAATAAATGATTGAGAATCAAACTCTTTTGGTGTTTTTTTAATGCTTTAAGGCTTTTAGGATTTTTTTTCTCTTTCTAAAATCAAGAATGACTTTATGTGACCATACTCCTCTCTTTTACATAAACATGGTTCTTCATTACTTGTTAACTTTAAAAATAAAGTTTAATTTGAGAGAGCATATGGCTGCTCTTATAGCATATAGTTATGGACCTCATTGATCAAGGCTTTAACAGTAATGGGTTGAAGTAAATTTTTCATCTTAAGCTTTTTTTCATTAAATCTTTTCAAATATGCTTAAGTGCTTTCACTTTTTTATTGAATAATGGAGAAAAACTTATTTGAGCTATTAGACTTGGTTTTCAACCCAATTATCTCTCATTTAGCTCGGGTTTGAGCTGAATTAGTTTTCTTTAATTTGTAGCCCTTGTTTTAAATATTGGTGTGTGAATATATATTATGTTTCATTTTGAATTTTGCACTAATATCATTTAGAGTAATCCTTTTTGTTATTTTCACAACAAAGTATATACTAGTAATTAATAGGGTCATTATTGCTTATTAGCATGGTTTTTTAAATACATGTAAAATTGATTAGTACTTAAAAGTGTATTTTTATCAAGGTTTTGTATCATCATTTTGCACTTGAAGTATCAATAACTCCTTAACTAAAGCATGTTTTATAATAACGTATCTAATAATATAAGATACCTTTAATTTATGGTAAATGTTCATTTTAAATGCAGGCCTATCACATAAATGAAAGGATTGATTGATGAATTTAAGAACTGAAATTGAA